CGTGCAGTTTATGGAACTCGATCGTCTGGTAAGAACTCCTTGCCGTACTTTGGGATGGAATTCGCTCTTTCCACGCAGTGCTTTACTCCAGGAAATTAAAGTTTTAGTGGTGGCATATAACATCCCCACCAGACTGTTCCCAGACTGGTACGTGGCAACGGCGACGTCTCCCATGACGTGCCCACGAGACTCGACGCGGTCACAGTCTACGGCAGAGGTGGTCGCCGAGTGCCTTACCCACCTACTCAAACTGACGTCCTGCCTTCAGACGTTTGAGGTAAACTTCCAAGAACCAGGCTGTGAGAAATTTACCCAAGTTAACCCCCCAAGCCACACCAGCAAGCAGCTGTGCTTGTCTTCCAAGCAGCATTTACAGGGATGTACACGTGAACACATTCTGAAAGTAGCGTTAAAGCACTACAAGACCCATTTTTTAATTCCAGATTTCTTTCTAGGCTTCTGGAGGGTTATTCTGTGTAGCCATTTGATTAACTAATTGAGTGCAGCAACACTGCTTAAGGCCAGTTGAAAGTCACTGATACTTTACGTCGCCTCCTGCCTACTGCTGGGAGCAGAGGGGATTGTCACGTTTAGTAACCAGGGGGGTACCTCCAGCCCTGGGGTTTTGGGCAAATTTCCTCCGTTTTAACTGTGTCATAGCCCTGTGCTCTTGTAACTGCACTGAAATGCGCTGTTTGTATCAAGGATGACAGTGAGGATACGGAGGAGAGCATACACGCTCTTGAACCTGAGCTGCTCATCCCGGTGGAGACAGTTAACTATTTGTGTAATGCTGAAGAATGTGCAAGTCCAGAAGATTTTCTGAGAATTTATTTAAGTCCTTCACAACTTGCCCTGGATTCAGGTACACCGCATGCAGCTTGAGAGATAAAATTTAGTAACCTACCTTAGAGGTTGCGGCTCCTAACACTGACTTGTGAGTGACAAGGGTTTGTTACAGTGCTAGTGTAGCAACTACACCCGATGAGCAGGACCATCTGCCCTGTTACGAGAAGTAAACAACTGGGCAGCCTCTGGGATTCCAAACTGGGACATCAAGAGAGCAACTACATGTGTATAACACATACTATGTGTCTCATCAAGGCCTTTACAGAGTACAGTTTCATTTTGTAGTTAAGCCTGAGGTGTAGTTTAACTTCAGTAAAACGTACTCTGAAGTATTACGGAATTTACACGTTGAGTAAATTAATTCAACTAATTCCACAAGCGTTACCTCAGTCGACTAGGTTTTTTCTCTCTCGTTCGCAGAGACCGTATGGCCTGTTCCCTCTCGTTTCTCTGTGTGACGCGGGCTGGATCCAGGGTTCCTCTTTGCAGCTGGCCCCATTTCTGTTTAACATGACTCTACACATTAAACAACAGCTCCATATTCATCCCCCGTGTGCTTCTGCTGTAGTTCTTAAGAGAAGGCCACGCTGAGCAGCCGGCGGCTCCCGAGCTACAACGCCGAGGGATCGACTGTGTAACCTTTCCAGCGTCCGCTGGAAGCAGCGTGACTCACAAACTTGAATAAAGATGCCTTAGTTGACAAAAGACAATCTTTAATTTTGTAACTGTTCACCCAACTGACGAATGCAAGCAGCTGTTTCAGAAGTTCTTTCAAAAAGTCAACCGTTTTCAATGAAAGCACAAAAAAACCCCCAACCAAACCCCAAAACAACCCCACACTTCCACAGTTTCATCTTGAAACAGTTGCAAGTTTCACATAAACAAAAGCAGTCTTGGTTAATACAAATAACTACGAAATAAGTATTAAGTACTTATCATTAAGTAGCGATGAAATGATTAAAGATACAGTAAGTTTCCTTCTACAGTCTGACAGTCCTTCAAGGCACTAGAATACATCCACAGTTTTGACAAGGCGACCGAGAACCAGCAGTCACCACCAGCACTCTGGCATTTTTTTTTGGTTCATGTTTTAAAAAGAATCTGCAGCAAATCACCGAGGGAATGTCTCTTGCAAGGCATCTCCTTGTAATGTCTAAGAACTAGAAATAAAAGTCTAACCGTGACATTAAAAAGGTTACTTCCATAATACATGCACTTTAAATAACTAATGTTCTGCTGCTTACTCTTGTGGAATTTCTGCCAACACCACCTGCATTAGCAGCTATTTTGCTTCCTATGCAAGTTGCCGCAGCAATTAATTCCTTCCAGCCAACAGTTTGAAAACCGCCGCCGAGGCGCAGATCATTAAACTTCTTCTGAATGGCTAAATCGCTTCGCTCCGTGATGCACAAGTCACAGACTCTACGCGGTTTTGCCATATCGTCACGAGAAGCTCTTCACTGTTCGCTCTGTTAGTTTTCCCACCGGGAGAGGAACCTTTATAAAGTTCGGGAGCTTCCTCTACAGAGCGGTGCTTTCCGTATCATTGTCGAGATCGAGCATGAGGTGGTTGTGCAGTTCTTTGCTCGCCGCCTCTGTAAGAAGCTCTGAAGGAGGGGTTTGAAGTGGTTCTTGAATACTGGAATTAGAGTCTGCACAAAAAAAAAAACAACACACGGAACAGCAAGTTTAGCAGCAGGGCCAGCGACATCTCGCTCACTCGCGTGTTTCTGGCGCGTTTCCTCACAAAGAGAAGGGAAAGGAAAGATCAACAAAGGCTTTTCCAACAGACGGCTGGCACGTGTGCGCCCACACACACGGACACAGAGAGGCAAACTAAAAAGCTCCTGAATTGCTTCTCCTACCTACCTTTTTGGTTTTAAGGCTTGTACATAACATCAATGCTTCTGAAGAATAGAAGAGAGCAAGTATGATTTAATATCAGATTCCCCAGTGCCCCTTAAGAGTGATAATGTTACTCCAGACTTTCACGTCAAAACATGAAAGTCTCTCAGCAAAAAAAATAAAAATTTAAAATTTGGCACCTAACTCATCAGTCAGGTAATCACCACTGAATCATTCAAAAAAAAGAATGCACGTCAAAAATCTAGATTATTAAATTTTTGATTAGAATATTCTTTTCTAGGGCTTATCACTTCAATATCGTAAATAGAATTTGAGGCATTACTATGACTTCTAGAAGCAACAGGAACACGTATGGTGTCACAAGGAGGCACTGTCATGAGAAGGGGAAGAAATTATTTAAACCAAATGCACATTAACCCCCATTCCTGTTTGTAACAGGGAACACTGTGTTCTTTGCCTCTTCTGAGGGGAGGAGAATTTTTTTCCAAGCCCAGGTGTCCAAGAAGCACCTCAAAATGCTGCATTTCTGGTGACTGACCGCCCTGATGGTTAGAAGACCAGAAAAATCTGTAACAGTTTAAAAAAAAAAAAAAAAAGTAACTGAAAATATTGTCACTATTTTGGAGAAGCTAATTTGTAATATGCCATTACAGCACTCACTGCAATCCAGCAGCTGTTTTAAATGGGAAATAATTTAGATCACTTAAACCACTAAAAAATCCAAATATGCCTTGCTTTTAAACACAGGTGGAATAAACAAAGCATCCTGTCAGGACTTTGACTCGCATCTCAAGCATTAAGCCTTAAATTTAGCCCAGAATTTACTTCAAAAACGTTCGAGTTGAAAGTTTCTGAGCTAAACGACAGCAATTTGGTATTCTGAGATGCTGCGAACAGAGTAGCTGGAACGCCACCGCATCAGGGCCTGACGCCGATGAGGCAGTTAATTGTCTGCACCCGTGCTGCTGCAACCTCCCCAGAATCCTGATTCCAGAATGAACGTTTCCTTTGAGGTGTGAACGACACATTTTCTCCCCAGTCTTGTCTCAGAGTCTCGGGGTGCGCTCCGTTCTCCTGCGAGAGCCCTTCAGTCGTAATGAAATCACGCAGAAGGGACAGAGCGAAGGGTCGGTCTGTGGTGACTTGTTAATACCATCCCCTGGGGGATCTTTTCGAGAGACTTCTCTCCCAGCCCTCAATCTCGTTTGGGAAGTCAGTGTCTCTACCCAGTGAGCAGCACCTTGTGGCACCTACAGACCCAGCCCTGCTCACAGACCTTCGAGAGCCACGGAGAAAAAATTTCTGGGGCTTCTTTAAACCCGAACCTTTTCACTCAGCCTCACATTCATGTGTTTAAGCAGGTCCCCGATCCACGAAACCACGTTTCACGGATCACCATCAGCTCTCCTTTATCCCTGCTGCACTCTCTAACTGCTGCTTCTACGAGAGATGAAAATTTAAAGTCAGTTGATTCCAACTTTAGAATTTTTTTTAGTCATTTTACTAATGTTAACAGAAGCAATACTGCATAAAAGATTAAAGAGCAGTTGTGTGAGTTCCCAAACTCTTGTGGTGTTTTTCACTTACACCACAAAACCTTCTGCGCTGAGCTTGGCCTCGGGAGGTGAGCACAGAGACCAGCACCTGCTGCTCCCTGGGAACTTCCCTTTCACACGTGGCTCAGAAGGGAACTCTGACTTTAGATGCGGGCACAGAATTTCTCCCTGCCACGGCTGCACGTTGAAGGATGAATCGGAAAAGGAGGTAACAAAGGCGACACAGGAGAGGAGTGAACACGGAACAGCTCCATCAAATACGCAGGGAACCCCCGCATAAAACACACGGATTTCTAGGTAGGATTTTTTTTTTGTAAGTGGAAAAAAGTCCGAGGTGAAACTGGCCAGTCAAAACACGAACCGCTTCACACGTTCTAGTCTCCAATGCTTTTTAGTACGTTAATGTATGAGCGAGCATCAAACAGCCATTCTTTTCGCATGCCAGGCTAACGGTAATGCAAGCAAGCGGTGTTACTGGTGACAGGTTAGTAGTGGGCGTTAGCACACACATGATTATGAATTAGCAACATTTTTGGCCAATCATATGCCTTTTCCTTACCATTCAACTTGCCAATACAGTTCCTACTGAATGCAGGTCAAACATCTAGATTATTTAATAAAATTTTTGATTAGAATATTCTCTTCTAGGGCTTATCACTTTAATACCATAAATAGAATTTGAGGCATTACTAAAGCCCAGTACCTGGACAAAGGAATTCAACAGTATCCTGAAAGCAACTCAGAATTTCGGTTCTGACATTACGAAGTTTGCTGGCAACTTAATTTTGGCTTCCATTATTCCCACTTGTTTTCCCTTGCTCCACTATTGAAGGTTAAAATTAACAACAGCTATTTCACATTGTGAATTAGATAAGCCAGTCTATAATAAGTGCTTATATGTGCATGTGTCAGTGTTAGAGCAGCTACTCTTGTGTAATATGCAGTGGTGTTAATTCAGAACATATATTAATCCTTTAAAAAAAAAAAAAAAATTGATCCGGAGAAGGTGGATGATCCTGTACGGAGTGTACTGCTGCTGGTAAGCCTGAGCATCACTTCAACTGTTCCCCAAGTCTTTTTTTATTTATTTTATTTTTGCAAAACATACCAGATTTTCTAGGTTTCTTTATCAGTTTTGCTAGACAATCCTTCATCCTTGGCTTTTTTTTTTCTCCAGTACACTGCAGTAAAACAAACCCTGCTTGTCTGCTATCGTTAAAGCAACTTCCTCAGAACCAGAAAAAATCCCAAATGAAAATAAACAAGGGCAACCTGTGGAACACAACTTAGTCATTAGGGTTATGTCTTCCCTTGAACTTCCCATTCTTAATGCATTTGCAAGTGCCATAAAGACCCAGCCTTATTTCTGTTTTCACTGGGGAAACAGATTGTATTTTATTTAAAGATACTGACAAAAAGAACAGAAGTAAAATCAGGAAAAGTCTGTTATTTTAAAAAGCAAAGCTACTTTTTAGTTGCTTAAGCAGCTCATTCACTGCTAGTTTCTCCAATTTAAAAAAAAAACCAACCTGAAACTACTTCCAACTTGACTTTTCAATCCAATACTGATTTTGGTGCCTTTCCTGTAAGCAGGCAAATCTTGAGATAATTCAGGAATTCTTGAGATAATTCAGTCTCAGCTTCTTCACCTACCGTGCAGCTGTTTCCTTAACGAGGCAGCATCTCTCTAACCCATTACCCAGGAATGTAAGATTATTAATGTGTCGCCTGTTCAGCCGCAGCTCCCAAACTGGTGCTATTAGTGAGGCTGGAGCTGACAGAATGCAAATACACACATGCCAGAACGCAGATGCTGCTGGGGGGGCTTTTCCGCAGACACCTTTAGTCCCATGAACATGTATTTGGGCAAATAAATCCCAAGTAGTTACAAATAACTAAAAGCCTAAAGTGAAAGCTACATAACAATGCAACTGTAAAAACACTGAACTGTGGGAAATAACCACGAGCTTCAATATCTGCCTGCGCTGATGAGAACAAACCTGTTCTGAAGGGGTCACTGCTTCACACGTACTTGTGGACCAGCAGTTCTGGTGACTTGGTGTGAAGTGTTACTTCCTTACAGATACTTACACATTTTGTTTCAAGCACTAACTTAATGTTCACAAGACTATTAAAATTAAGCAGCATAGGTCTTAAAATCTTTTAAATGGAATGACATGTAGTAATGAGATAACACAGAGTTGACAAAGAGCACATATTCCAAAGCGCATATACAAAAAAAAAAAAAGCTACAAATAAAAAATTGCTGTGCAGGAGCATTTTAGCTTATATTGCATGTTTCTGGTAAGTACAAACCTTATTCGCAGTAACCATCCCCACCTGTGAAGGCATCATGGGGTAAAGCTGTTAGGCAACAGAATTTATACTTTGTACTCCAACACATTAGTCTTATTCTAGAGAAGCTGCGCTGTCACTGTGAGGTTTTAACTATTATTAAATGTAAGTAGATTTAAAAACATTAGTCTCCTATATTCCTTAGCTCTCTCTTCAGAACTTCCTAAAATCGGCAGAGACTCAGCAAGAAAACATTT